GTGAATTGAGAGAAATAAATCGGTTGGGGACTGCATAAACACTTTCTTTCCCCTCCCTCTCCTCCTTCTTCCCCCTTTCTTTTCTTGCATTTCTTTCCGATCATACAAACATTTCCATATAGACATTATATATTTTCAGCCACAAAGCGGTTCCGCCGGCCATGTATAACACATTAAAAAACAAAATATGTAATTGCACAGACATAGTATAGTTGAGCAGCAAAAGCGAAACCACTGCAATTGTTATGAGCAACTCCCTGATCAGTCTCAGTAGTAGAGTATCAGCCCGAGTTAGCACCGGACCTGCTTACAGGCATTGCCTTCTTGGTTTCGGTATTGTACCATAGGTGGTGGAATGAATAAAGATTATATTATATTTATTTGATTATAGATTTTATTTCTTAAGAAAGCATTTTTTTCTTCAATTCAATATTCGATTGCATTTTGAGATGACAGTTGGTTTTATTCATGTATTTGTATAATTTTTTATTATGCTTGATTATGTCCTGTTTTGTGTGGATTCTGTTTGGAGAGTCACTTGATAGTTTTCTTCTAAACTTTTTGACAATCCTTGGATGGCAGGTTTCCACCTTTCTTTTTATTTATGTTCATACGAAAATAAAATTTGAATTTGAATTTGAATTTGAGTACCAGTATCTTAATTTAAAACTCAGTAGTCAGTAGTACACTACTCCCGGACGCATGCCTCCCCAACGACGGACCGAACGAACGCGAATTTTGCCTCCAGCGAGGACAGGACCGGACAGGATTGAGTACCTGGCCAAAACCATTTTTAATGTGTGGTAAAAAAAATTAATAAAACCACAGAAAGCCAGCTGCAGTGTGCGCATAGCATAGGATTTATTGGATACTCAATCAATGGACGAATTCATTTTTATTTATGTGGTATCCACAATTATTGACGGCTGGTTTAATTCAGATTACTGAGGTCAAAATTATGCTAATGTTAATTTTTTTCCTAAAATTATGCCAGCACATGCTAGATGCTAAAATTATGCCAAAAAGCATAATTATGCTAGGTCTGGTCACTATGGTCTCCGACCTGTAGACCACACACACTAGGCCCTAATTGCAACTTCAGAGCACTGATGAATATTTATTACTTCGTAATTTGCATAATTATAAACCATGGCTTCCTTCGGTTTCTGGACAGAATGGCAACAAAAAAAGGTAATAAGTCAAAACGGCAATGACCAAAACGGCAAAAAACCAAAACGTCAACACTTTTCAACCAGAACGGCAATAAGTCAAAACGGCATTAAGTCAAAACGGCAATAGTCAAAACGGCAAGACCAAAACGGCAATAGGCCTAAGTCAAAACGGCAATAACAACCAATCACCATCACCGAAAGCTATTGTATGGAAACCAAACTTTACCTAGCACTTACTAGTCCAGACATATATTTGCCAATTCAGTAATAATTATGAACTATTCTTGTTTCTTTTTACCAACACATTAATATATGGTACACTGTCATCCGGCAGGTTGTCTCAACAAAATTAATTTTCCTATCCAAATAAGGTTATTACTTAATGTGGTGGTCTAAAAGCACAATTTGGACCTTACTGAGAGGTTCGACCATACAACAGAACAAAAGTTACAAGTAAAGATAAAATTCATTAAAAGAAAAAGATAATGAAAAATGCAAATGCAATTAAAAGTAGGGCCCATTCATGTGATAAGATCTTTGAATTTGAATCCGTCGTTGGTGGCGCTGTCTGGAAATCGAAAATATTCAATGAACTTCTGAATGGAGTCTATCGCACAAAAACTTTAGATTCCGAGGCGCAGTGTATTGACTGTCTCTTATACACATCTAGATGTGTATAAGAGACAGATATTATACTTTGCTACAAAAAATTATGAATAAGTCTCAATATTTCAATTAATAATGTCATCTTATTTGGCGCACGTATCCAGATCTGCTCGCGGCGCCGTTTTTCACCTGCAAAGCATAGTCCCTTTTTCTGCATTTTTTTAATTCATTTATTTTATTTATTTATTAATTTATTTATTTTATAACAAACTGAGACGGATGTGTACTTTTGTCAATCATTTTATAACAGAGTCACGTTCCGAACTACATCAATATCGATATCACTGATAATATTGATCACTAAATATAATCAACCTGGGTAATGTAACGGATCGATTGTCGATGGCCTGAGTCCACACGTGGGCCAGTGGTTGACTAAGAGGTTGACAGCGCGAACGAAATAGAATCTCTAGACCTACTGTATTATTAATAAATAGTTATTCAGAATTATTTATATTATTGTTCCACAGTAAAAAGAAAAACAAAGATGAGTGAACCAAGTTATCAAACCAAGAAGATTGCTGAAAGCCGTTAGTATTAATTATATTTGACTGAGTAATAATTTAATTTTTAATGAATGTAAAATAAATTGAAAAATAATTAATAATATTTTATACTGTGATAATTGTATAACAATAATGGTACTGATGAGGATAATGACAACGATGATGATAATTGACAGTGATGATGATACTACTATAGGGCCTATTAGATTAATGATTCAATATAAAAGTATTGCAAAACAAACGAACGTATTAAACGGATGCTTTAAATAATTAATAAAACTAATTTATAATAATACCAATTCTAATACTGTAATAATAATTAATCGTAATGATAGTGATAACAATGATAATGTCAATGGCAGTGACTAGAATGGCGATGACAATAGTAATAATGATTGATGATAATGATGATGATGAGGTTGATCTTAATCGATTTGTAATAGGCCTACATGAAAACAACGCACAGAAGAAGACATTTCTACATTTCTGGCGTACACTTAATTTATATCAACTGGAAGTACCTCGATCGAGAAACCTAGGCACACGGTTACAGTGGCCTACCATACTAGCTGCCAAACATTTTTTTCTATTTTCAAATTAGCCGAGAGATTGGCAATAGCAGAAATCCAAGATCACCATGCATACAATATTTGTACATAATAAGGGCCCAAATTTTAGGATGATCTAACGATTTTTTAAAAATTACTTTATCAAATAATCACAAAAAACGTAAAATAATAACAGCTTGTAGAAGACGTCGGACAGCATCTATATGTTAAATTTTATTTTTATATATTCATTTTAATACAAGTTCATATTTTTACAAAGGAAAGGTCAAAGTATAAACAAAACAAATGAACTAAATGACGTTAACGAATCCAATTCCTAAATAATCACGCTATTAATGTTAAGTTCAATTATATTTATTCAAATGTGTTTATGTTATTCATTTAGAAACCAATAATGGTAAAAGAAGTAGAGATGAAACTCTCGCACAAATGCCGATCGACATTCGACAAGAGATTGAGCTATGCCTAGATGTGGAAGCACCTGCTGCAAGTAACTGGCAGCATTTTGCTGAAAAGTTTAACATCAGAAAAGACGTTATCCGTAATTGGGATAGCAGAAATGGAAAAGTTGCAGCTTTTAGTGCATCTGCGTATATGTTCGACCACCTGAAAGCCGAACAACCGGATCTGACAGTTAATGATCTGTGGGAAGTTGCCATGGATCAAAAACGTAAAGACGTCGTCAGGGTTATTGACAAACATTATGACCAAATGCTTTGTTAGACCCATTCTCGTCACACTACTTGTGTCGGGTAAGAACTTTATCTGCATTTGCCTCTCTTCAACCAGGAGTATAAATGGGTATCTGGTAGGAGATGAATGATTGGGGATGAAATTAGTAGCGCTGATTATAGGAAGGGGAGGAGGTTGTAGTTGTGTGACCAATTCTGTATATAATGAGCTGGGAATAAAGAGCATTGAGCAGTTTTCTGGATGTGTGCGGCGCTATATAAATCATACAATAAAAAATTAAAAAAACATTTAATAAACATAATATTTTTTAATGTTCTATTACATAAAAGCCATGACGGGTTCATTTCTTAAGATTAATGAAAAAAGTTGGAAATAAAGAATCACGATGACTTTCATTAGTACTTAGGATTTTATTTCATATGCTGTCTGCTGTATATTGTCTAGTTTTAATGCTTATATTCTGATGGAAAATAGATAAATCAATCAATCAAATTATTTATTTCAAATTTGACACGATACAAAAAAAATGACTACAAGCGTTACCAGAGAATGACGTGGGATAATGCTCAACACATAAGGCCCCATAAAAAATATTAGCTTATCACCTGCTCCCTCATCACTTTTGGGGAAAATCTGATTTCTTTATTATTTTTTTTTTCAATCAACATATATTTTTTAAATTTCAAACGGTCTTTTTTCCATCTTTTTTCACTTCAAAAGCTCAGGATTTCTTGCAAATATGTTTACTGGTACAACAAAAACATCTTTAAAAAAAAAAATAAATCAGCATCACCGAAAGCTATTGTATGGAAACCAAACTTTACCTAGCACTTACTAGTCCAGACATATATTTGCCAATTCAGTAATAATTATGAACTATTCTTGTTTCTTTTTACCAACACATCAATATATGGTACACTGTCATCCGGCAGGTTGTCTCAACAAAATTAATTTTCCTATCCAAATAAGGTTATTACTTAATGTGGTGGTCTAAAAGCACAATTTGGACCTTACTGAGAGGTTCGACCATACAACAGAACAAAAGTTACAAGTAAAGATAAAATTCATTAAAAGAAAAAGATAATGAAAAATGCAAATGCAATTAAAAGTAGGGCCCATTCATGTGATAAGATCTTTGAATTTGAATCCGTCGTTGGTGGCGCTGTCTGGAAATCGAAAATATTCAATGAACTTCTGAATGGAGTCTATCGCACAAAAACTTTAGATTCCGAGGCGCAGTGTATTGACGAACAATTCCCCTACACTGAGGTATTAGCCAGGGTGCCCCCAACCCCCCATATCTGCGATTTTATTTATAATTTCAGCTGAAATACTTGTTATTGATAAATAATCAAGCTATAAAAGGAATTCATATGAAAGATAGCAATCAGGAAAATAGCGCAGTATGCCGACGATATGATAAAAGTATTACAACAGCCTTAAACACTGCTGATAGATTTTGTATTTTCTCTGGCCTTAAGCTAAATATAAATTAATCGAGAGGTATTTACATTGGTTCCTGAAAAACAGAAAAGACTAACTGGCCGATATAAAATGGCAGCACGTACCAATTAAAATTTTAGGCGTATATATAGGCTATAACAAAATTTAATGAGAGAAAAAAAAACTTTAGATAAAATTGAACAACTAAAAATACATTAAACTTTTGGAAAAAAACGAAATTACTTAATTTGGAAACGTGACAATAACCAACCCACTTGCATTGTCACAACTTACCTTTAATGTGAGTGTGTTATCTATACCTAGCTAGTAACGTATACAAAAAAAGTTGAAACAATAATGTGTTTATTTCTCTGGAATGCAAAACCAGGGAAATAGGGATTCTAATGTGTTTCCAACCCTGTGCACAAGCCAGTGATTGCGCCAGGATCTGCCCGACGGAGGGGCTGAAGGCCTCGACGGTGTGTGTGTGTGTTGGTGGAGGGGGAGGAGGTGGGTGCCAATAAAAATATATATACTGTAAACCTATATCCAAAGATTAAAAAATACCAAAAGGAATCTATTTTTCAGAAGCATTTTTCTTAGAATGTATTAGATTGGTTCTTAATATTTGAAAAAAATCATTATAGACCTATATATATATTCCAATTCGCAGACTTAAATTTCGTTCAGAATAATCATGACGGGCTTTGAATTTGTAATATGAATAATCATAAGCCTGCTAATAAATAAATATAAATATATACAAAATTAAATAAGACAGTTTAAAATTACTGCTATGAATGCAATTAATCCGTAACAATAAAAAGCGTTTTCAATATAAAATAAGTAAATCACCTTTATGTACCGTATGTAATGTCACAGAAAACTGCACGGCACACGCATCTGTTTTCAAAGTGTTCTCGCATCACAGGCTATTTGGAATAAGAAGACAAAAATGTTTATAACACAACATCATCGCAATAGACATGAAAGTCATAATGAGTGGAATACAAGTATTAAAGGATAGGTTGAATTTGGTATAAGGTGTCGTTAAGCCTAGCAGGTTTTGATATACATATAAAACATGATCGGATAGCGGAGAGAGTAAAAGAAAATTAGTAAGGTCAATTTCAGCCACTTTTCTTGAAAGAATTGAAATAGGCCTATAGAAAAAGTTTCAAAGAAATTCCAAGAAATTTGTGTATGTGAATTTTTTTCATTTATTTTTTTGTCATTATATTGTCTAATATAGGCCTATTTGTGTATAAAGATACATTTTAACAACGATGTGAAATACACACAAAAAAATGATAATAGAAACTCAGAAAATGACTATCAAAAATAAATTATTGCCTAGAAACGATTTTTGAAAATATGTATATTTAGATTTATATTATTTAGAAAAGTAAGTAGAGTAAGTTTTATATATTTTGATTGTTGAATTGACCATTGGTCAACAAAAGAAAAAAAATCGTTGGTTATTTTATAGACCTATGCATTTTAAAATCGCTAAAAGATTGATTTTTTCTTAAACATTTATGATTATGGAATATGCCACTTTTAGATAGCCGGCCGGAAACGGCACTCTCTGACTTAAATTTGAATATAATTTTTCTTTTCTACTTCCCCTTTTCCTTGAATCCGTCACTGATAATGAGCTTTCTTAACACATTTAATTTTATTTTGCTGCACATAAGTGATATCCATCGGCATTTTCTTAATACTTAATTTCGTGAGAAAATTGATAATAAAGCAGTGAAAACATACAAACATTATGAATTTGCGGAGATGGGTTAATTTCTGGGAGGTTCTTGCTTGCTTGCGGGAGTGCAGGAGGCCGTCCAGACTTCTGGAGACTCCCGAGAATTGCGAGAGACTTGGAACCCCTGTCCAAGTGACCATCTTGGGCTCCTATATCCCCAAGGAAGAGCCTATGAGCATCTTAGACCTCTTGATTTAGGCTTATTTGGTGTTTTATTCCATGCGATCAAATCACCGAATAAATGCAAATCAATAAAAGGGGTTGTAGTCAATGTGTTCAAGGGACAAACCAGTCAAGGAGGGAGAAATGAAAAAATAGCCTTTTGATAGAGAAGCCCAGAAGAGTGACAATGATAATTAGAATAACCCAGGGTCGCAGCCAGGGTAAAACTTAAGGGGTGGGGGTGGGTCCAGCCTTGCAAGCGCAGCCTGGGCCTAGCGATATAATATAGACCCTGCTTATCACCAGAACAGGGATTTTTTTTTAAATAACGATTATAAATTCACGTTTTTGTGTGCTTTTGTGTATTTCACTGAAATTAAGAAAAAATATGAAACTACCGTATACAGGTAGGCCTACATCATTTCTTGTCATTGTCTATTATATTTTAGTATAAAGATACATTTTACACTAATAATAATATGAGATACAAAAAAAATGATGATAACTAAGAAATACGGTAACTTATTGCCTAGAAACGATTATATAAAAATAGAAAATGTGATTTATATTTAGAAAAGTAGAGATGTTTTATTTTCATTGTTTTATAAATTACTATTGGTCAACAAAAGAAAAGAAAAGATAAAAAAATAATGGTCCGTTGTTATAATTTATAGATCTATGTAATTTTAAAATTGATAAAAATTTGAATAAAACTATAAGAGGCAAGAACATTTATGATTATGGTACCTCTAGATGGCCGGAAATGGCAAGTTTAGACTTAAATGTTAATACTATTTTCTTTTCTACTCCATTTTTGTTATAATTTTGAAAAATATGGGGAACCCGGGCTGGCCTGTCCCCCTTTAATCCACACTGATCAGACCAATAAGCTCTCTTAACACATTTATTTTTAATTCACTGCACATAGTGATACCGATCGGCACCGGCTTAGTACTTAGTAAGGAAATTGAAAAAAAAGTAATGAAAACATGCAATTATTATGAATTTGCGGAGATGGGTTAATTTTCGTGAGAATCATGGTTGTTTGCGGGAGTCCGTCACGATTTCAGGGAGACTCTCGCAAGTTGCCGGGTAGACTTGGAACCCCTGTCCAATTGACCCTCTGGCGCTCCTAATACACCCTAAAAGAAAAGCCTAAGAGCATATTAGACCTCTTGGGTTAGGCTTATGTGGTGTTTCATTTCATGCTATCAAATCATCGAATAATTATGCAAATCAATATAAGGTGTTAATAGTCACTGGGTTCAAAGGACGAACCAGTTAAGGATCGAGTAATGTAACAAAAATACCCCTTTGACAGCAGCCCAAAGGGGTGAAAATAATTAGAATACCCAGAGGTCCACACATGATGATATAATCAGATTTTAAGGTATTCTTGTTGTTCGCGTTCCCCGTTCAAAGTGTATCTAAATTTACTACACTACTGATTGTTTTCCTATTTAGGCTACTATAGTCCACATCGTATCCGAATGCATAATTTGTAATTCCGTGATTCCAATTCCAGTGGGTGACCACAAGAGAAATTTGGTACTGTAGCCCTGTCATATCATAGTTATATTTTCTCTATGGTCATACTAGTATTATTCTTCCTGTGAAGTCGCTGAGGTAGAACCCCTACGTTCTTGGCGTCCTCAACAAACGTTGCACAGTCGGTGAAACGTATAACTAACACTGAAAATAAGATCAAAGATTCCGTTTGAATTTTGTTATCACATTATATGAGCATCATTATCATGGATTGTTTGGTATATATGAAAAGACAAAGTCATAAATGAGGAAACAGTACTGAGCATGTACTTTATCAATAGTTTTATCTCTCTACCCAGGAGTGCATGGGTACCGTATGTTCACAAATACAAAATTAGCTGATTACAACTGCAACGTAACGGAATTCTCCCCAAAGACCTGAGTTGTGTGTTTCATGTGCTTTATATAATCTTTATCATGCTTATTATTATTACAATCGTTACATTTAATAAGAAATATAAAGTTCTAATGTAAAACCGA